GCTTCCTGGTGAGCAGGGAGCCCAATGTGGGACTCGATCCCAGGACCCTGGGATCATGACCTTAGCTGAAGGCAGACACTCAACGACTGAGCCACCCAGGCGCCCGGGGCAAAATTAATCTTTTAAAAGCTAGGCAATTTCTAAGACTCAAAGATCATCCTGGTAATGGTGTAAAGATTAAATACCACAGCTCTTTCACTTTAAAGTTTACAAAGAAAGAATTGGTCCTTAATATTTATAATCGTTATCAGCAAACTACCACCCCCAGCTGGCCAGTTTTATTGCAGAAGACATAATCCATCCATTTATGTATTGTCTATGGCAGGTTTCATGCTACAATGACAGAGTGGTTGCATGAGATTACATGGTCTAAAATATTATCTACCCTTTACAGATACCCTTTACTAAAATATTTAGTATCTACCCTTTACCCTTGCCAACACCCAACTCAGAAAAAATCTCCCAAAATGAAACTCCACACATCTTAATAGGTGCCATGAAACCTCTATGCCTCTATTTGGGCATGAGACATGGTCTCTATTCTCCTTACTTCTCAACACATAGGTTTTATCTATTCTGCAAAATGACTAACTCTGCAACTCATTTCACCAAAATAGTAAAAATTGCTTAATAGTGTCAGGACATTGCATCCAGATTTAAGGGGAACAAACTCCAAATAAATTTTCCCCCCTCTGGGGATTAAGGAGTGCATTTGTTGTGAGGAGCACTGAGTAATGTACAGAATTGTTAAATCACTATATTGTACAACTTAAACTAATGTTAACACTGTATGTTAACTATGTTCTAATTAAAAATTTTCACCTAACCAAATGAACTTCTTATAAAGCAACTACATCTACTTATTAACAGTATTCAGACTAACTGAAGGGAAATCTCACTGAGTTAAAGTTTGCTCTTTTCTCAGTCGTTAAAGAAAACCATGTTAAAATGGAATTAAGGCTATGACAACAAAGGCATATTCCCTACTGAAAAAAGCACTCATATCTAAATAAAAATGCCATTACAGGATCATAAACTTCTTATGCTAAAGCTGACACCTATAATCTTCAAATCATCAATGTCACCTAGACTCACTGAGTTTGTTCTCATGATAGTGCCCATTTAAGGGTAAGAAGCCAAAGAAAGGTTATTTCCCTCTCATCACAATTCACCAGCCCATTTTCTGGTCATCTTTAGCAGCCCAGAAAAATGGAAAAAAAAAAAAAGAAAGAAAGAAATGGAGTCAAACTCCAGCTTAGAACTGTTAAATAGCATGAAATGATGTAACTGTTGGAGGCAACTCTAAAGATTTGAAAGCACTGAAGGCCATCTTTGTAATTAGTTCACAAGGACATGATTTACCATTAAGGTGCAATGATTACATTTCAGAAAACTCATAAACCTCACTTTAAAGATTAAATCAGATTATTAAGCTTAGTTCACAGCTCAACATAATACCAAAAAAAAATGAAGCAGATTCAAACAGCTCAGTCTTAATTCATTGAGAACTCAACCAGATGCTTCTCATCATATACAACCATTTGGAGTAAGATCCACCTGTTTAATCTAACATGAAATTTTAAAACCACCACTACCTGCCCCTTGAAGCTTTCTATTGAGTAACGTGGTGTTAAGCAGTGAAAAAACAGCTAAAATTTATGCAGCAGCTGCTACTATGTGCCCAAGATTTACACCAGGTGCTCTTAATGATTTTCATCCTCAAAGTAACTCTTTGGGATATGAACATTTAGAAGCATTAAGTATCTGGATTAAGGTCACAGCTCGTAAGAAGCAAAGCCAGTTCTCAAATCACCATTTTTTTGTGTGTTTTTTGAAGCTTTCCAGTGACACCAATGTGCAGACACGTTTGGGAACCACTACTCTATGGGTTCTTAAGCACACCAAGAGTTAGGACACTGTTGCACTGAACATGAAGCAGAAGTGTTCTTCCAGAACATCTTGCGATTTAACATACTATAAACTTCAATCATTGTGCCAGATTAAGTTTCTACAAAACAAATACTACATAAGGGTAGGTGGAGTGAACTTAACAGGATAAATTAATCATCAAGTGATTAACTGCACAATTTGTCTCTTAACAAGAAAAAACTACAAAACCTTTTAAAGTAGGTAATTACTGAATTACACATTTCCAAACTCTTATCTACAAACTTTTCAGGTCCATGTGTCCCAAAGTGCCCATGTTCTATATAATCTCTTTTGTTGGAGCACCAAACCTTTTAAGTTCTAGCATTCAGCCCTTAGCAAGGAAGTAACATTAAGTAGCAAAATAGAATAACCGAAGCTTCTCTGCAGTACTTTGGCAGGCTCGGGGATTTTTCTATTTCTGCCCCGCCCCCACCATGGCCAGGTGGTCATTATAACCTCCAGAAATGTAACTGGTCAAAAGACAGTCATAATATCCAGCTCTCAATTAGTGATATCCTATTACTTAAAAGCCCTAGCAATGTATCCCTAAGTTTATCGTGTAACTTGAAAAACTTCAAAAGGGTGTGCCTTTTCTAAATCCAGGTACTTAGATTCAAATAAAAGCACTTAATAAAACTTCTTTTATAAAGTTATGAGTAGGAGATTATGGAGTATCCAAGTAGAATGTGATGTCAAGTTGAGTTTTTTTGAGTCAAAAACAAGTCATTTATGAAATATTCCTAAGTTTAAAGTATGTTCATATAACCATATTCTAACAGTACATAATAAACACTAGCAAAAGGAATTTAAAGTATTTGTTTATAGGAACCAGGCCCTTCAAGACACTAATTTTTAATAGTTAATATAAATCTGATTGATTCAATCTGATTATTTTTAGGTTAACACTTCTACATTTATTTCAACTTTAATAGAAATAGATTTATGGAAATATAAATAATTCTAATCCTTAATATAAAGCAAATAAGATACAATTTTTGAAATACTATTTTAAACCCATTACCATAAGATTTTTGCTCATTAATTACATTTCATACCAAAAGGGGGGGGAAGTGCTGAGAGAAGGGAGGTAGTAATAAGAGAAGAATTACAAAGGAGGGGACACCAAAGAACTTCTGGGGGTGACAGGTATTGTTCACTACCTTGATTGCAGTGATGGTTTCACAAGTCAAAGCTTATCAAATTATATACTTTAAGTGTGTAGTTTACGTCAATTTATACTTTAATAAAGTCAATTGTAAAAAATAATCTGCTGCCGAGAAACTGAGTATGAAGCAGCCCAAAGTACTTTTTTTTTTCCAGACCTTCATGGCCTATTCTGAGTTCAACAATTCCACACTAGATGTGCAATTTAACTAGTTTCTGTACTTATGAGCTCCCTTTCAAACAATATGGTCCAAACTCTTTACCAGCTACCCATTTTTCAGAGAGCAAGTTAAAATTATGCTAAGCTTTATTTCTATTGAAATACTTTGTATGGATCCACCCACTCAGTAACCAAACTTGTTGCTATCATTTAATAAGAATAACACCACTGTACCTTACCATGCTTACTAAACACATTCGATTATCAATGCCATGAATGCACAATAAACATTACTTAACTGCTGATGAGAATTAAGGCCCAAAAAAAAAATTATCTGAATATAAAGCAGAAGATGCCAGAAAATTTTTAAGAAATCTCTTCTGAAAGCTATTCAGTGGAAACAGTTAAGGTAGATTTTTAATGTAAACCACATTTCTCAGGTCCCTTCTAGCTTATGGTTAGCAAATACATTTCCCATCTGATAGATTTCATTAATCTGTTAAACAAACAGTGCAATCTAAGAGTCCCCCAAACATTCATTATGTGATACTGACAAAGCTTTGTCAAAGCATAGATGTAATAGTACATTTAACGCTAGGTGACTGGACTGCATTGTGGTATATTATATAGTAAGAATCTATTTAAAAAGGTAACTTTAAGACCTATTTAATACTTTGTTACCACTCTAACTCATCCTCTGAGTTTTGTGGGGATGAAATTGTGCTTTTGTTTTAATTTCCCCATCACCACCAGTCTCAGTGTGAACAAAAAATCTGGCTTCTCTTGAAAGCTGGGGAGTTTGGGCAGGATCTTGAGGTAGAAACAGCAAAAACACTGCGGCCTTCTGAGAAAATACAATTTAAAACAAGAAAACACTCTGATGATTAGCTTAATCTAATGGAAAACCTACATTCTTGCTCTGAGATTACACCCTTTACAATCAGCATATATTTAAACATGGATGCATATGGAATGAGGAAAGCTATAAGCAAACACAGATAAACAAAACCAGAAAAATCGAAATACAAATATACAGAGCCAAATTACTCTTCCAGTCAGCAATGAAACAGTAATGATTCTAAAATATGCAAGTGAAAAATAAAGTGACTATTTAACAACATTCATTTAATAAACTTGTTAAGCATTTGATAATAAAAAGGATTTTTTCGTAACTTTTTTTGTAAAGAAAGTAATCAGTATAACTTTGTTTTAATAAGTAAATAAAGCATATTGTGTTTAGAAACCAAAACCTTGAACACTAGAGAGAACAACAATATTCTGAAAATCCAGTTTATTTTCCATGTGTGGACAGATCCAGTCAGTGTGATCAGTTTTTCTGCATGTGTAATAATTTATCAAAATAAGTTTTCCCACAAGACTCTTCCATCAACTCTGAAAGTCCTGGTCTGACAACATATCCAAATAAAGTTCTTGAAAATCACCTCTTAAAATTTGGAAGAAAGTGTGTCAAGTCTTTCCTGTAACGTTTACCGAACTACAAATGGCTAAAGAGCAATTTATGTTTTAAAAGGTGACTAGTACAACACTTGAGTTCAGGAAATTAATGTTTTAGTGCACTCTGCTCCAGTTTTAGCCAACATGCTACATTGTCCTTTTGGGGGCGGGGAGCACAAAGTGGACTTGAAGATTTCCATTGTACGAAAAAGATAGGACTCTGCAAGCAAAACAGTGTAAGCTGCCTTTTTTCTTAAGACCTGTTCGACATTTTAAGACAGAAGCTTTGCAAAACATTACACAATTTTTTTATTATTAAATGAGAAAATCTCATTTGTTACATCGTCACATTGCTAGTCAGAGAAATGCTGCAGTGATGAAGAAAGTCAATGTTGGATCAACCAAAGTCCTCATTTCTACAACATTCATTTACAAAGAAATAATGTTCAACACAGCCCAACACAACATTCTTGGTTTTCTTCATAGTGAAGTCCCTCAAAAAAATCATCTTCTAATGGGGTATTTTACTACATAAATTATAGTTCTTCATTTTTACAATTCACCCCAAACTGTATGAGAGATGTATCACACTAAAATTTCTAAAGCTGTTAGGAAATCCTTCACACATCGTCATCATCTGATGTGTCACTGCTACTTGTCTCTGTGTCATCATTCTCAATAGTGGGTTTGAAAGTGCTGTTTTTCCAGGGTCCAAACTTGAAGTCACAGATGAGGCCATTTTTCAAAATACCATTTTTCCTCAGACCATTCTTCTGTAACTAAAATATCAAAAATAAATATATTAAATACATAATCTATCCTCCAGGGGTTACTTATAAATTAAGAATACTGTAATAATTCAATGTTACCATGAATACATTAATAAAATTGTATTCTACTCTGTATCATTTCTGGAAAACTAGTTAAATACAGTTAATTGATCCAACTGTTCTAACGAAGTATTTCCAAGGAATAAATCCTTACCTTTTAGAGAACCACAATTAACATCCACCAAACCAAAAAGTAAGTAAAATTAGTGTTTATTATTAGCATAGTGGAAAGAGCACAGATTGTCAATCCAGACAGGGTAGGTGTGGACATAACCCTATCACTTGTTAAGGTACCAAATAACCCTTTCCAAATTTTCATTTCCTTAAGTGAAAGTTGTACTAAATACCTTCAGATGTAACCAGAATAAAATCAGCAGCCATTAAGCTTTAGCTGTTATTTTTATTATTCTGACCAAACTGGACTTTATTAACACACCCCAGAAACTGCTTTATTCACACTTTGCAGAATAAGTAGAATACAAATTATTCCAGTAGGTAAGTATTCAAATAAGGTGCACAAAATAACAAAATCAAATAAAGCCCTTTGCTTAGCCAGAGAGATTCTAATACTGAAAAAAAAAAAAAATAGTCTTCCATTTCTGAAAATGAGAAATCAGAACTAAAGGGGTTAGATGGTAATAAGTAAGAACTGGGCCCAAAGATCACAAATTGGGGGGGGTGGGGAAAGGGGTGGTTAATCCAAATTAGAAACAATTTAAAGACAAAAAATTAAGTTACATTAATAATGGCAACACTATACTCTCAAATAACTCTGGTCTTCTAAATTTCTTTCATGAAAAATCAGCCTCTGGTAATTTACACCAAAATCTCTAAATACAACCTTCTATAAGGCCAAATCCACCTCTATATTATTATTTGGGCCTGTCTAGAAGTTTCACATTCTAGAGGGGTTTTTTTCTTTTTTTTTTAATCATTAAATCTTGAGTATTAGGTTAGGATCCAAATGAAAAGAGCCGCTTACATCACAGCTAATTTTGTTATAGACTCTGACAAACAAGAAATAACAAGTCTAGAGTCTTAGCCCTCAATTGTCCTTTTGCCCTATTTAATTCTCTATTTTCCATAACATATTTCCTTTCTACCTAAATTATACAATTTAAGCTACCTCCCCTTCACTTTGAACAAATGACCTCATACCACCTTTACGGAGAAAAACCAAAGCCCATGTATGTATCCCCTGGTGTTCTCAGCCACTGTGATGATTACAAATACACCTTGACCCTTTCTTAAAGGTACACCTTTACCATCCCCCAAAGTTCTATCCTTGCTTTTCACATACTTATCATTAGTGCTGCCTCATCTTTCCACAGTCTGAAATCAGCTGGAGAACTATGATTTTTTTTAAAAAAAAGGGGGGGGGGGGAGAAAAGCTTTTAAAAAAAGAAAAAACCCAAATCTTTTTTCTATTTTCTCTATAAATGTCTGCACTGTTCCCACAAACATCTAACTTAGCATGTTCTTTTTAAAGGCCTCCTAAAAAACCAGCTCCTCCTTTGCTCCTGTTTATAATGATACAATTATCAGCTCAAAGGTTAACAAACTGGTAAATCCATATAATGGACTACTACTCACCAAACACAGGTGAGTTTCAAAAGCATAAAAGCAGCCAAATCTAAAACTATACAGTACTTGGTTCAATTACTGAAACATTCCAGAGGCAAATTATGGTGACAGAACATAAGTCAATGTCTGCCAGAGACTGCAGCTGGGAGTAAAGAATTGAATGCCAAGGGGGATGATGGTTATACATCTGTCACCTGTCAAAACTCATCCCCCTCTGCACTTGAAAGTCAACGTTTTTATGTAAAATACAGTATAAAAAAAAAAGACAAAAAAATCTCTTAAAACTCTTACCCATCATTAGCTTCACAACCATTATGAAAAATAACATGGTTCACTAAGAACTTCTGAATAAAAAATTTAAATTGGGAAGGAAGAAATATGAAATTGGAAAAGAAGTAAAATTATCTGTTCACAGACGACATGACCTTATATGTAGAACACCCTAAAGATTCCACACAAGAACTGAGAATATAGCAAAGCTGCACACTGAAGATCAACACACACAAGTCAGTTGTGCTTCTGTAACAATAATCCGAAAAGGAAGTAAGAAAATTCTATTTACCATAGTATTAAAAAGAATAAACACTTAGAAATAAATAATAAACAACCAAAAGGGGCCAAAAATTTCTACAATGCAACTCTAAGTCACTGCTGAAAAAATTTTAAAAACACCAATATATGTAAAGACAGTCCATATTCCTGGATTAAAAGCCTTATTATTAATGTGAATATTACATCCAAAGCAATCTACAGATGAAATGCAATCCCTATCAAAATCCCAAAGGTTATTTTCTGCATAAGTAGAAAAACCCATCCTAAAATTCATATGGAATCTCAAAGGATTCCAAATAGCCAAAATAATTTTTAAAAACAACAACTAAGTCGGAAGTTTCATGCTTCCTGGTATCTAAACATTTCAGAGTTGAAGTCATCAAGACAATGTGGTACTGGCAAAAAATCAAACAGAAAAGACCAGTGGAATAGAAAGCCCAGAAATAAACCCTTGCATATACAGTTGATCCCTGAACAATACAAGGGTTAGGGGCACCAACCCGCCCCCTCCACCCAGTGCAGTCGAAAATCCATGCATTACTTTTGACTTCCCCAAAACTTAATTACTAACAGTCTACTGTTGACTAGGAAGCCTTACAGATAACAGAAAGGCAATTAATATATATTTTGTATGTTATATATATTATATACAGTATTCTTACCATGCAGGTAAAAAAATGAAAATGTTAAAGAGAATGATGAGAAAATACAGGTACAGTACTACAATCCTAAGAGAAAATACAGGCACAGTACTGTAAAAAATCTGCATCTAAGTAGACTCATGCAGTTGAGATCTGTGTTCTTCAAGGAGCAATTGCATACTCAAATGATTTTTGACAAAGTTTTGACAGATATATCCAAAAGAATGAAGGCAGGTCCTTACAATACAAACAAAAACTAACTCAAATGGGGGCGCCTGGGTGGCTCAGTTAGTTAAACGACTGCCTTCGGCTCAAGTCATGATCCTGGAGTCCCGGGATCGAGTCCCGCATCGGGCTCCCTGCTCAGCGGGGAGCCTGCTTCTCCCTCTGACCCTACCCCCTCTCATGCTGTCTCTCATTCTCTCTCTCAAATAAATAAATAAAATCTTAAAAAACAACAACAACAAAAAACAAAAAACCTAACTCAAATGGATCAAAGACTTAAACATAAGAACCAAAACTATGGAACACTGAAAAGAAAACACAGGGGAAAAGCTTCATGACATTCAGTTTGGCAACATTTCTGGAGTATGACAGTAACAGTAGGGGAACCTAACTAAAAAAATAGGTAAACAGGACCTCATCAAAAATTTAAAACTTTCATGTATCAAAGAATATAATCAAAAGAGTAAAAAGGCTATCTATGGAATGTGAGCAAGTATTTGTAAATCATATAGGAGTTAAAATCCACAATACATAAAGAAGTACAACAACTGATTAAAAATGGGCAAAGTACTTGAATAAACGTTTCTCCAAAGAGGATACACAAATGGCCATGCTCAACATCACTAACCAATACTAGGTGCAAATTAAAACCACAGTGAGATACCCACTTGGCAACCATTAGGATAGCTACTATCGAAAAATTAATTCTTGAGCACCACTGGTGAGAATTAAGATGGTACAGCTACTGTGGAAAAATGGTATGGTGGTTCCTCAAAAAGTTTAACACAGATAACCATATGATCCATCAATTCCAATTCTACAAACATTTCCTAATACTCTTTCAAAAAAGAAACTATGGAGACAAAAAACAAGATGTTTCAGAACTTGAAATATTTTTATGCAAGGAAAAGGATAAAAGGTGAAACTATATGGGAAGCTACTGATGCTTTTTACTTCTTATCCCCGTACTATAAAAAAAAAAAAAAAAAAGTCGGGGCGCCTGGGTGGCTCAGTGGTTAAGCATCTGCCTTCGGCTCAGGTCATGATCCCAGAGTCCTGGGATCGAGCCCCGCATCGGGCTCCCTGCTCCGCAGGAAGCTTGCTTCTCCCTCTCCCACTCCCCCTGCTTGTGTTCCCTCTCTTGCTGTCTCTCTGTCAAATAAAATCTTAAAAAAAAAAAAAAAAAAAGTCTGGAACATGACAAATCATAGACATATTATTTATACTAATTCCTAAGCACTGCAGACCAGTTTAAAACAAAGGCAATTCTGACATATACTGTGATGTCTAATAAATTCCTCAAGAGAAAGGTATAAAACCTCCCTTCCCTTAAAAAATCCTTAGTGTAATATGTTGTTCTGATTAAGGAAAGGCAATTTAAGGTGAACCTGTATGATTCAGGTCTTCTCACCTGTTCACTAATAACTTGGAATTCTCTCATTTCATCCTCAGTTAAGGGAGCACATGTTTCATCATTCTCACTGTCTTCTTGCCAGCCCATCTCCTTTAACAATCTGAAAAGAAGGTAGGTAAAAGGAAATAGGTAAATTCAGAGCTTCACCCAAGTAGGATAATACCATTTACACTGTGTGCAAGAAAACACCATCCAGATCCATTATACAAAGTCCTCAACACAAAAGAACTTGTTGGGGCGCCTGGGTGGCTCAGTCGTTAAGCGTCTGCCTTCAGCTCAGGTCCTGGTCCCAGGGTCCCCGCATGTGCTCCCTGCTAGGCAGGAAGTCTGCTTCTCCCTCTCCCATTCCCCTGCTTGTGTTCCCTCTCTCACTGTCTCTCTCTCTGTCAAATAAATAAATAAAATCTTAAAAAAAAAAAAAAAAAAAACTTGTTTACTCTGTGCTTCCATTCTGAAAATGAAAAGGTAGTTAGGTAAGATTAAGAATGAACTGTGCAATTGCTTTAACTTTGTTGTCAGAGGTTCTCCAGGCTGGAAATTTGCATAAGGGTCTCTAGCTCAGAAACTAGAAAAAAAAATTGTTAAAAACTTAAACTAAAAGTAAAAGCAATAGTCCTCCTGGTTTTAATATCATCACAATCTATCATATTCTTAGCTACTCATTAGGTTTTTTACTTTGAAAAGGCTGAGCTATCTTATCCTCTACCTTGCATTTTATAGTGTATTTACCTGTTGATATCACCTCTAAGGTGTATGCCAGTCATCAACCTCAACACATATTTCAATGTGAAAGGAGCATTGTTGTTCTACAGTAACAGAAAGACCACTTTTTTAAAAGCTCTTAACTAGGATCTAAGTAAGTAAAATAAATATGGTTATTCTGTTTTCCTTCCACCCTAGGCAAAGAGAGCTTTAAAAAAAAAAATTAAAAAAAAAATCACATGCACTCCATTTTCAGGGAACCAATGATTTCTCTCCAGTCAGGCAAATATGAAAATCATAGTCATAGATGATATACATTTGACTCAACTATTTCAAAGTTTGTTTCTTATACAGCCACATATATTGTATTGGTCTGTACTGGTTTTTTTAATAATTATCTCTCTCTCTTTTTTTTTTTTTTTTAAGTTTTTTTTATTTATTTTTTAGAGAGCAAGCGAGAGAGAAACATCATGAGAGGGGAGAGGGTCAGAGGGAGAAGAAGGCTCCCCGCTGAGCCGGGAGCCCGATGTGGGACTCGATCCCAGGACCCTGGGATCATGACCTGAGCCGAAGGCAGACGCTTAACCATCTGAGCCACCCAGGCGCCCCAATAATTATCTCTCTTAAGTATGTTACTTTATTTATACCTACTCATCTTTCAACTTGAGCCTGCCACAAAGATCTTGTACCTTTTCAAATAATCTTACAGAATATCAGTGCTCAGAGAATCTGAATAAAATTTAACACAACACCCATATTTTACATGTAAAGAATCAAGATGATGTAAGTAAAATAACCTGCCTACTTGATGGCAAAGAAGCAAAGAGAATTCTGGTTTTCTCCTTCCAAGTTAGTTTATACTGCACCAAACCCTCTAGATCAAAATGTCACAATCGTTGTCAATTACTATTTCTCTCATTCCTTTTAATCATTTAACACTTCTTTTCCAACACACCGTCTTCACTCTTTTAACCTAGACAGCTTCCTATGGAATGGCATTTTCATTCCCAATGCCACCTAGTTCATAGTCTAGAGATCTAGACTGGTAAAACAATCTATTTTTGCTAGATCATTTGTTTCACAATTAAAAACTGAATGTTAACCAAACAATAATGCAAATGAAACAAATTATTTCAAATTGTATAGAAGACAAGCATTCCTAAATGTCCAATCTCATACCTTTCCCTTTCCTTCCAGTAGGTGTAACGGTTAACTTTCTGGAATAGCTTTCAAAACAAATACTTTGCCCCACAGTTAGTAATACACTGTGACAGTGATCTGTACCTTTGTTTTTTCATTAGCGTTTCTCCTCATTCTCTCAAACTATTACCAAATCACCCATACACCTAACACTTTCATGATACCCTCTGCTAAGTGTTTCCAATTGCTTCCCACTTCCTAAAGAACAAACTCCTTAACTTTAACACCATTACCACAAATTCAAATTTCTTACATTAGAAAAAGCATAAGTTTAGAAGCAGAGGATTTCCTACTCTATCACACACAGGTATATAAGCCAAAGGCAAATTCCTTCACTTCCCCGAACTATTTCTTCAAATGAAGAAGCTTGAATAGATCTTGAAGGCCCTGCCTCTTCAATGTCATCTCTAATTCCATTAAGGACTACACACTCCCTCAAGACACCTCACTCACTGCCCCTAAAACAAACTAGGTTATGTATTCAACCCTAAATATCCCTTTCACACCCCCTTCTTGTCCTATTAATGTCTCACCTTTAAAGATTTAATTTAGCTCTGAATTACTCCTTCTGATTGGTACTCAAGCCATGAGATCTATCCCAAACTCCCTTGAATTTCTCTGGCACTCATTTGATGCTTTCAACAACTACACTCCCCGCCTCCCCCACACCTGCTTAATGTTCAGGCTACCCTCACTATCCTGATGATATACTGAAACTTGACAACAAAACTAAGAATATATGTGTTTTTAATATTTTATATGTTTCATTATTTTTCATTTTAAGTTTTAGTTTACACTAAGAATTGTCATCCTTAAGAACTGTATCACTGGCACCTGATTTGTTAAATTCAACCTATGCAAGTACTTAATACGCACATAACTTAAGAATCACAAAGTTTACAGGAAATCTGAAGCCAGGGAAAAGAAATATCACTCCATTTTCAGAGAAATAAAACCTAAAATCTAAAAGAAGGCATTAACTTTGTTACCTCAAAAAAAAAGTAATAATATGTATCTGTAGAACACTTAGAAACATACACTATACAAAGCACAAAGAAAACTCAAGCTAAGAAATTTAAATTAAAATGGTTCCCAAGTAGTAACACATTTACTTCCTCTTTTTATTGATTTGGGATCCTTTTTAGCATGTGCAACATTTCCACAAAATAACATAAAGTCTTTAAAACAGAACAAAACAAAGACATATAATGAAATATTCATTCAGGTAGTCATCACTGATAATCTCTTTATGCAGCATGGGTTCCCCACCAACCATCCTAGAGTTTATTCCAATTTTGGATCTCCTCTTCTTGCTCTATTTGGCTTAGTTCCTAAATCCTATTCTCTCAATTTTCTGTTACTGGTCAGCAGAGGACCAAACTCTGTCAAGGTATGGAACTTGTCAAGTCTCTCTTCTCTGCATCTTCATGAACCAAAGAAGAAACCACCAAAATGCTTTCTACACTATGTCTGCAGATGAAGAAATAATAACATTAAATCATTCATTATAGGTATTGGGGTTATAAGAGTATTTTCTAAGTAACTGTGGCTCAACCTTCTTTTGCCACAAAATACTGAAGGCAAATACAAAAACAAAAAAGTACTCAAGTTTTGACTTGACTATTTAGTAAAGTTTCAACTTTTACTACAGCCTTAACAGTTTCTACAAGTAATTATTTTCATTCTTTTATTGCCTATGCTGTATTTCCCTAAAAAAGATTTTTAGAATTCATCTTTTACTATCATTAGAACATATGGTTTGTACACTTTCTCTGCACAAGACTTATTCTTTTCTATCAACTGCCTGACTAGAAATATTTAAATGACTACTGGTGAGAATGGGAACTGGAAAAACATCTTTGGGTACTAACATGGCAGAATCTGATTAATTATGTGTGCCATTTGACCAATCAACTTCATTCCCAGTAGTCTGTTTTATACACACACAAATGTTTAAGGATATAATAAAGGATATTCACATGCGCACTTTTTTTTTAAAGATTTTATTTATTTCTTCTGAGAGAAAAAGAGTGCAAGCAGGGGGAGGGGCAGAGGGAGAAAATGAATCTCTAGCAAACTCCATGCTGACCACAGAATGCGACAAGAGGCTTGATCTCACGAACCTGAGATCATGACCTGAGCCAAAATCAAGAGTCAGACGCTGAACTGAGGTATCCAGATGCCTCACACGAGCACTACTTGTAAAAAAGAAACACAGAGAAGGATCCCTGATCAGTAGGTAAATAGTTTCATGAATTATATCCATACTACAGAACAGTGGCTTCAAAGGAGGTATACAATGTTTCTACTAGAATGGGAAAAAACACTGAAATGTCTACTTACACCTGTCTTTTCAAAAAGGAGTTTCTGCATGTATGACATTGCAACCACTACTTGGCCTACGATCAGAGTCACAAGTCATAAACTGTATCATGAGGTAAAGGGAATCCTACCCTTTGGGTGGGAATAAAAAGTGTGGTTACTGATCCATTCATACTAAATGCATAGTAACAAAATACAGTTTTGCCCAAACAAGTAAATTTAAAGATACTACCTAGTTAAGTTAGCTTAAAATTAATCTAGTTAAATTAACTCTCATCAAATGGGCATTCACATTTATCATCCACCCAATAAATTATTTGTAAAAGGAAGTCCAAGTTGGTACAGGAGGATTACAAAATTAAAACAAATGCCTATATTCTCATATATAATAGTTATAGCCACATCTAAAAAGAGCAAGACATGGTCTGGTAAAGGGGAACAAAAACCATCATGGAGATAAAGAATAATGTATGAATTGGGCCAGAAAGACAAAGACATAAAGGGGTCTTTAATATAAATTTTTAAAAGTTATTCCACAGTAGGTATAAGCCTATGTCCCCACTGTCCTAAAATTAAATGAAGTTCTAAGAGAAATGGCATGAAACTAAACAGAAAGTCAAGTCAACCACCTAGGCTGTTAAGTATCACTCCACACTGAGCCCGGTCCTAAAGGATGTTTAAAAAAAAAAAAAAAAACATTTTTTTTTTTTAAGATTTTATTTATTTATCAGAGAGAGAGAACACAAACAGGGGGGAGCAGCAGGCAGAGGGAAAAGCAGGCTCCCCCCTGAGCAAGGAGCCCTGACATTGGACTCGATCCCAGAACCCTGGGATCATGACCCGAGGCGAAGGTGGACGCTAAATAGGACTGAACGACCCAGGCATCTCAGGATGTAAAAAAAATTTTTTTTTTTTTTAAGATTTTATTTATTTGCAAGAGAGACAATGAGAGACAAGGAGAGCATGAGAGGGAGGAGAGTCAGAGGGAGAAACAGACTCCCTGCTCAGCAGGGAGCCCGATGTGGGACTCGATCCCGGGACTCCAAGATCATGACCTGAGCCGAAGGCAGTCGCTTAACCAACTGAGCCACCCAGGCGCCCCAGGATGTAAAAATTTTTAATGGAAAAAAAATTCAATCTACACAAAGCAATTACAGGGTAATGATATGACCATATAACTGTACATATTAGCACTTTATTGCTTTAGTAGTTACACTGAAAAACTGTATAAATATGTATGGAACAAAGCCTATACAAATGAAAACTGTAAGAGCATCTGGGTGGCTCAGTCGGTTAAGCATCCACCTTCAGCTCAGGTCAGGATCTTAGGATCCTGGGATCCAGCCCCCACAAAGTGCTCCCTGCTTAAAGAGGAGTCTGCTTCTCTCTCTCCCTATGCCCCTCTTCCAGCTCATGCTCTCTCTCTCCCTCTCAAATAAATAAGGTCTTCAATAGAAAAAAAATGAAAATTAATACTAGTATATATGGTAGAGAGGGTAAGTTTTGGTGCCATAATTTCTCCCTTCATGGTGTTTGAGTTAGATCAGCTGAAGTATATCTCTATACCACAATTTAAGCTTTAATAAAAGTCTGCTTAATTAAAACAACAAAAAAATCAAAAGGAATTAAGCAGAAGTCCTTAAGTCCTTCATATACTAATGCTGAACCCTGTGGTTTATTTTAAGACCACATGAAGGGTTAAGAAATTTCTACAATACCTGCTCTTACCTCTACAACCCTAGAAGAAGAAAACATAAAAGTTCACTCTAGACTTCAATACTCTTCAATTCTTAAACTTGAGTTCCCTATTTAAAAACTGTTTAAAGACTGTAATAATGGAAGCGCAAAGTGCTCTTGAAAGTTTGCAATAAAAAATAAATCACATATTGAGACAACTGGATATCCACATGGAAAAGGATTAATTTGGACCCTTATACCTCACACCATGAACGAAACATGCAAAAAGGAATAAAGGGGAAAAAATATGATAAAATGACTTCACCAAATGTAATGTTTTTATATTTCAAAGGGCACCACTGAAAAAATGAAAAAACAAGTCAGAATGGGAAAAAATATCTGCAAATTATATATTATGGACTTATATTAAAAAAATATATACAGAACTCTTACACAATTCAATAAGACAAATAATACAATTTAATAATGGGCAATGAATTTCAACAGGTATTTCTTCACAGAAGACATACAAATGGCTAACGAGTACTTGAAAAGATACTCAAGACGGTCAACACTGATTTTTAAAGTGAAATGCATTATTAAAAACCACGAAAAGATACTTCATATCCATCAGAATGGCTAAATCAAAGACAGATGGTAAAAAGTGTTGGTGAAAATATGCAGAACTGGAACCTTCATATATTGTTGATGAGAATGTAAAATGGTAGTCATTTTGGAAAACAGTTTGGCAGTCTCAAACTGTTAAGCTTATGTCCTAGCAATTCCACTCCTGATATCCACCCACCAAAAGAACAAGAAACATGTCCATACAAAAAGTTAGACATGAATGCTCCTACAGTAGCATTATCCAGAATACTCATCAAGTACAAACAACTCAATGCCCATCAAAACTAATGAACAAAATGTGATAAAAGCTATACAGTGTACTATTAATAAAGATACACAAGGTAGTGACACACGCTACAAAATGAATCTTGAAAGCATTATGCTAAGTGAAAGAAGCCAGACATAAAACACCAATATATGATTCTATGTGAAGAAAATATCCAGCAAAGGCAAATCTGTAAAGAAAACAGATTAGTAGTTACCTAAGACACAGAGGAAAAAATAGAAATAAATGCAAATGACCACAAGGTTTCTTTTAGGGGAGATAGAAATGTAAAATCAGAATGTGAAGACAGTTGCACAGCTCTGAATATACCAAAAATCATTAACTGTACACTTAAAATAGGCGAAATTTGTGGTAAACAGCTCAATAAAACTGTTAAATAAATCACAAGATTTCTATACTAATATTAAAACCCTGGATGTAAAACATGCAGAGAAAAAAGTAAAAATGAGTACTAACCTGTGTTCTGCCTCAAGTGAACTGGAAAGAACATCAGTTTGTGGGAAGGTTGAAGACCGAATGATCTGCTGGGAAATTACTGAGGCATTGCCATTCTCCTGTGGAATTTCATTTTCATCAAAGTTTCGGTTTATATCCCTTTCTTGGTGAGTACTATTGCTGTTATGCAAATTAAATGAATCCTCATCCTGATTTTTAGGGAGTTAAAAAAAAAAAAAGAATGAGTTAGAGAATATAGCTGTTGAAAACCTTAAGAGATTCTGGTTAGATTTCCATATAATAAGTATTATAACCATTAAGTTTAGGAGACCTCCTCAGAAGATATAAAATTAAGCTGTGAAGGATACCCACGGCTTTCCGACTCTATGTCTTCACATTTATTCAACAAACGCCATCAAAAGGATTAAAGTAGGCAAGAGGGAACAACAGAGAAGAAAACATCATTTTGCATAGAACAAAAGAATGATAAAAATCTACTTCCGAAAGAAGTCATTCTTTATACAAATAGTAAACTAGCCTTGCTTTCAGGGAGATGACTTTTTTTTTTTTTTTTAAACAGAGATGACTATCTTGATTAAAGTTTATTCAAAGGTCTTAAAGGGTATCTCCCAAATATTTCAATGATATGTTAATGTCAAACCAAGAGTTACCTTCTCTGAGCCAGCATGACTTTCATCTTCATGTTCTTCTTCTACTCTGTCCCTTTTCAATGCTTTCAAAAATTCACTCTTCTTATCAGTGCGCATACGTGTCAGTTTGGTTAGACGAGGCTGCTGATTAAGTTTGTCAACAGGTGAAGAGGAATTTGAGCGGTTACACTAAGAAAAAAATTCAGAAATATTAATAAATATGTAGACAGTATCAATATAAAGTTAATTACCACAACTTCCTATTTCACCCTACTCACAATACAAAATTGATTTTCAAGTCTTACTTTCCTCTATCCCTGTTTTATTTATCCCACTGAATGAGTAAAATTTTTTCTTATCCCATAAAACAATTAAGGTCTGACACTACTAACAACTATTGTTCTAAATTGAAAGCTTAAATATAATTTTATAAAACATCGTAAACCTATTTAAATATGCCTATAATACATACAGGACAGAATTCTAAGGCTCTAATTTAAACAACTCCAATAAAATCTATTTTATAATTATTTACAAACAGATACACAGAGTTTATCAGGTAGGATTTCACCAAGGAAAATGTTTGTGGCAGAGCAGGAGGGAGATGGGGAGGGACATGTACTAGAGTCCCTTTGTTTTTGGTGTTTTGTTTTGACAGTGGAATACAATAGAAAATAGAATGTTAAAACTCTGTGTCACAGGATTTTTAGCCAAGGAAAATTACCATAATGCCTAACTGTTGGCAATAATGTCTACAGACGATAAGGAATCTAACCCACTATTACCAGCTGAGAATGCTGGTCCTCTCATCCCAGTTCTGAATTTCTAAGTTTACTGGTTTATTAAAAACCAGTAGGGTGCCTGAGTGGCTCAGTTGGTTAAGCGACTGCCTTCAGCTCAGGTCATGATCCTGGAGTCCTGGGATCAAGTCCCGCATCGGGCTCCCTGCTCAGCGGGGAGTCTGCTTCTCCCTTTGACCTTTCCCCCACTCATGTGCTCTCTCTCTCTCTCATTCTCTTTCAAATAAATAAAATCTTTAAATAAATAAATAAATACATACCTACATACATACATACATACATACATACCACTAAGTGAGGGGCTATGATGTTCCAGTACAGTACACAGGGCAATTTCAAGTGTAGCAACATAGAAACAAATGCCTTTTGACCCTGAACTAATCAGGGAACTCCCTGGTCTTAGAAACTTCAGAAACTTGGTCCAATGACAGAGAGATACTTAAGCTACCAGGCATTCAAAGTCCATAAAATAACAATATTGATCTTTCTCTTCCTCCTCTCCTCTCTGGCCCCTTGAGTGTTAACACTAACAAAATGTCCATCATTCCCAAAAGATTGTATGATACAAATCCTCATTTTTAGTCAAGGTTCAATCTTACAGCATAACTATCACAAATGTCAAAATTGCAATTGTCATAATTCTTTTAAAAATCTGTACTTGTGGCTGATTGTTAAGTGGGCATTTCACTGTATTATTTTCTCTACATTTTAGGATACTTGGGAATTTTGTTTAAAAATATTTAAATTATTCCTACTTAAAAAAGGGCAAAAATGATTAGCAAAGATCAAAGTATCTCAAAGCAAGTCTTCCGAAGGAACGGAAATACCTCATTTTAATATATTCATTTAATGAATCTATGCCTTCTGCCCACTGTTAATTAAATTATCATAATTAAAATATGCTGCATTCCTCAGGAATAATTCCAGATGACATACCTCTTTCACTGAAGTTGTTGATGGACTAAAATTCTTGGCAGTTGATTTAAAAGCATTGAAGTTGCCAACACCATATGTAGACTCATGAGTGAAAGAAGTCCCAACTTTATTTTCTTTAGTTTGGCTTTTCCATTGTGTAGGCTAAAGAAAAACATACAAACATTAATGTGTTTCAAAAACAGGTTATACGGAGAACAAAGTGAACCCTACAGTATAAAAATGACTACACATACAACTCATAAAACAATTATTTTTGTATTACATCTTAATCATTCCTACATATTTCTCTTCTATCTTTTCCTACAAATAAAATCAAAGGCTGGCATTCAGATAAAAACATCTGGCTGCAATGTTATTTTTTTCAAAGTTTTATCAACCTGAAGTTAGGTTTGCTTTATCAAAAAACACAAGTGGGAGCTCCAAAAACATAAAACTGAACACCAAGGTAACAGCACTATATATTATTAAGCATATATATCATAGATTAATCTGGCAAAACGAAATTTTAGATTCCATTTACTACTAGTGAAACAAGAAAACATATACATGGACAAACGCACCATTTAAAAAGTAACTAAAATTAATGACACACAATGAGTCAACTCTTCCCACTTAACAGTCAGTACCCCACCAACAACCCCCTCACTTTGGTGTAAAATTTTTAACATTCTTTTCCTAAGTAACTCAAATTGGTACCAACTTAAAACTTGCATTTTAACAATTTAGAACTTACTTTTGTAGGTGGAGCAGCAGGTTTAGGGACTAAACCTTTATAAACACTTGGACCAGTCCCGTTCTTAACTGGTTGTGATTGAAGATTTCCTACCACTGGGAATCCAGATAGCTGTAAGTCTTTTGTATTACCTTTCTTAATGACCAGCATCCTTGGAGCTCTAGATTTAGGATTCGGAGGATATTCTGCATAAATAAAGCACAAGCAAGAGTTACACACAGCTTAAATTTTAGCATAAAATTAAATCACCCAAAAAACAGCATATTCCAAACCTTGATTATATTTAAAAATAATAGCTGCTTCCTGGATAAAATAATTAAGCTAAATAAGTATGAGCTATATTCCTGCTTCAGAAATAAAAGCTACAACATAATCAAACAGAATACAGCAAGAATTGAGCAATGTCAAGTAATACAGATGATTTCAGCTCAACAGTGGCCTAGAATATTAACTATGACCAAATCAAGATTAATTTACACTCTAACATTTTTAGTTTTTTTAAATGCAAATTTCACCCTAGTTGTGCCTAAGACTTGGAAGATAAAGTACATTATATTTTTGCCTTTTCCATTTTAAAGACATTTTTCCTAATTCCTTCTCATTCTTATCTCACTTATATAGTTATTACCAATAAACAAGAAACTACAGTCCTTCTATTTCTAAATTTCTATTAAAGTTATGACTAACAGAAAATAGAATTCTATTTTCACAATACCAAGTCATTCAAACATTTATTGCCCATCTAACTACAATGAAGGCATTATGCAAAAGTTACAGGGCAACGAGTTCAACCCTTCTGAAGATAGTACTACGAATAGCTGCTAACTCAAAGAGTTTTTCTCAAGAAAACTGCAGTTGTTAAAACATGGAAAACTGCCCACAGAGTTTAGTTTATGTATACCCCTAGAGTTTAGTTAGTGTAGGTGTTACACATGAGCATGTTCACAATTATTGTGAAGTGTTTCCTCCCTTAGAAAAATTCTCAAAGTATCACTTTCATAGTTGGAGAGCTTAGAGTAAAAGAATTAACTTAAGGGAGAAAGCTTAGAAAATCTAAATCAAAATTAGCATAACAAGTTGCCTACATGTTTGTGAGGATGCCCAACCTCAAACAAACTAAACCAAACTTTCTACTAAATCATCTCAAAAACTAAACTACACAAGGATTTGGAGGGACATGAAGGTACTCTCAAAGTTTATCTGAGGCTTCAAACTCCTCAAAATATACAGCTGGTACGATGCTTCATTTATTTTAATGGTGAAGTACAAAAGAACAAGGACCTAGAGCAAATAGCAAATCTTTGCACAGGTTAAACATATGGCTCACCTACTAAGGCAAACATTCCAACTTCTTGGAGGCCTTAAAAGACCTAAGAAATAAAGGCTAAGAAAGAAATCTTCAGGCACACAACACAGAAATTAAATAAGCAATATACAGCTTTTCTAAAGAACGTAGAAAATTAAGTCAACAAAACAAAAATTAAGAATAAAGATCTCAAACACAGGTGAATGCAGAATGCTAGAAATAGCACTAAACAATTTAAGTTTTGCAATTATTACTTCTGGTAAACAGATGACGACAGTGTGAATAAAATTGTAAAAAAAAAAAAAGAGAGAAATTAGCGATTCTTAAAATTCAAATTTAAGAGAAATTCTTAACAGCCTGGTATTCAAACTCTAAATGAAACTCAGGAATCGGGAATGAATGGTGCTGGGAAATGCATACGGTATTAAGTTTCAAGGTCTCAGAGAAATTCAAGTGTTGAAGCAGAGGACATTTCTATCAGTACACCACAATTAAAGAAATTCAAACATGACTGAGAAGCACTTCCAGTTCAATATGGCCCATTAAGCACACATTTATCTTCTTTACCTTTTAGTAGGTCCTTATGTTAAAATTACTATAATGAGGGAAGAAAACAAATACAACAGGAAAAGGGTCATCTGCAAGAGGTGATGTCAACCTCACACTTCTAGAGAAAAAAATAAAGAAAAAAACTTTAGCGTATCCACAAAGGAACCTAACAGCTGAGGATGGGACTAATCAGCCTTACAAAATCTTGGATTATAAACAGGACTTGAAAAAAAACATACATGGCAGAGGGCAGAAGTGAAACTTTTGTTCAAAGATCAACCACTAATAAAAGATCCCTACTAAAGGAAATCCTAAACAATGTACCGCAGGCAGAAGGAAAATGATCCCACATGGAAGGCTGAAGGTTCGAGGAAAAAAAAAAAAGTAAAATATTTTGTGCATGAACAATCAAAATTAAAAGGTCAAAGAGAAAGAGAATACATAAGCAAAACAGGTATATTATCTTTAAGCCTCAACATAGTACCTGACTACAAAATTCACTTTCCTAAATTTGGATTCTTAGACATCCAGAGCAAGAAATATTCTGGCTTCTTCCTCAAAAAGGCCTTTAGTACAAAGATAAAACACTCTATTAAAAAAGAACGTGAAGGGATGCCTAACTGGCTCAGTCAGTAGAGCATGCAACTCTTGATCTCAGAGTCGTGAGTTCAAGCCCCACGTTAGGTGTGAAGTGTACTTAAAAAAAAGAAGAAGAAAGGTGAAGCATAATAAATCAATCATAGAAGACTAAGCAGCAAAGTAAAAGATGATAAAGGTACCTAAAGGAAGATGATAGGGTTTGAGAGAGAAAAGCAGCAGACATGGTGCTAATGCACTCATCAGGCATTCATATTCAAATATTAGAGTACAGGTTAAGACATGTACTGTGTACCAAATTTATAGAATCTTGCTCTAATCTTATGAACTCTCTCATCTATAAAATGAAAATCAATAGTTCCTGTCACAGAGTTACTGTGAAAAGTTTTTTAAAAAATACTAAAAAAAATGTCCAAAAAAGTCAAATACTATCCCCAATACACTTCCAATTATATTTCAATATTGTATCAAATTTTAGGTTGATTTAACATTATGGAAAATGAGAAAAATTGTGACAGAAATAAACATAATACAGACTAACTTAAGTCCTGTGCAACTATCCTGAATAAACTGAGCCTGACCACTTAAAAATAAGAAAGTGGGGGTGCCTGGGTGGCTCAGTCAGTTAAGCATCCAACTCTTGATTTCAGTTCAGGTCATGATCCCAGGGTCCTGGGATAGAGCCCCTCGTCAGGCTCTGAGCTCAGGAGTCTGCTTAGATTGTCTCCCTCTCCCCACTTGCACGCTCCCTCTCTCTCAAACTAAATAAAAATAAAAATGAGAACGTGTTCTTAACAGCAATCATTACATAAATGTAAAGCGTGATGGCAGCACTAGTTGCCAAACTTAATTTGAGTCATTTATATTCACTTTATATTACGGTTGACCCTTGAATAACAAGGTTTGAACTGTACCAGTCCACCTATATGCAGGTTTTTTCCCCGATAAATAAAAGTACAATTTTCTATTCCTTACGGTTTTCTTAATGTTTTCTTTTCTCTAGCTTACTTTAAGAATATATAATACATGTAATATATAAAATGTGTTAATCACCTGTGCTAACAGTAAGGCTTCCAAACAACAATAACTATTAGAAAGAAGTTTTTTTTTTGGGGGGGGGGGGCAAAAGTTATACATGGATTTTCGACTGAGGGGGGAGGGGGCATTAAGGCCCCCAACTCCTGCATTGTCCAAAGGTCAACTGTACTTACAAACGTATTCATCTGTTCAGATTCTCTCTACAAATTCTCCTGACCTAAATCTTCAAAGTACTGAAGCTGTTGGATTCAAACAGTATCCAACGTCTCCTTCTCTACTTTCTCCATTTACTTTGTCAACTAGTAAACTATATGAAAAAACCCAAACTGCTTATTATTTAAAAGAGAAAATTTACGTACTGGCGAAAGACTTTAACACTTAAATAAAAAAGAACTAGAAAATGCTTCCTTCTGTAAATTACATGACCTTATTATCTCAAGCTCATATAAGCAGGTATTCTTTTAAATATAAGTTTAAAACATCTGGAGGCAGAGTGCCTGGGTGGCTCAGTTGGTTAAGCATCTGCCTTTGGTTCAGGTCATGATCCTGGAGTCCTGGGATCAAGTCCCACAGCAGACTCCCTGCTGAGTGGGGGGAGTCTGCTTCTCCCTCTGTCCCTCCCCTGGCTCAGTCTCTCTCTCTCCCCTCCCCTCTTTCTCAAATAAATAAAATCTTAAAAAAAAACCAAACACCTGAAGGCAAATATTGGTTTAAGATTTTCATACCATCATTTTCCACTATCCTTACAAACTGTAATCTAACAGAAACTGACTTTAAATATCCCTTTATTATCTTGTTATTTATGCTCTCCCAAGATTTATGAATATAATAGTCCTTTTCCTTAAATACAAAGTCAATGGTGGGAGGAGGACTAGCTCAATTCTTTGGAGAAAAAGTTATCATTAAAATAGTGCCATCTGTAGCACAAAGTAATTTGGTAACATGTATAGTTAAGAGAGGACATCTCAATTTTTCATCCTGTCTTCCACTACTCTCCATGTAGGTATCTTGAATATATTTTCGGATTCAGTCCCTTATTACTTTATTCTTTGATCTCTCACTTAGAAATTCCTTTTGCTTTTTAATAAATCTACTAGAACATGCACTGCTTACTAGATTTGAACATAACTAACATTCATTACACACCTGTAATGGGATCAAGGATTTTATACAACAAATTGATTTCATAGTTAAATATTTTATACAATTTAATATTAACAATGCTTTTCTCATTAAAATTGTGATCATCCTCGGGACACCCGGGTGGCTCAGTTAAGTGTCTGCCTTTGGCTCGGGTCATGATCCCGGGGTCCTGGGATCCAGTTCCAATCAGGCTCCTTGCTCAGCGAGGGGTCTGCTTCGCCCTCTGCCTGCTCTGCCTACCACTCCCCCTGCTTGTGCTCGCTCTCTGACAAATAAATAAAATCTAAAAAAAAAAAAAATTTGCGATCATCCTCATCTCACAGAAAATTCACTCAGATTAAGTCATCTGCCCAAAGTCTAAATAACCATTACGTAAGTAAAAGACCTAATGTTTGGACCCAGGTCAATCTGATTCCAAAGCAAATACCCTTAACCACTATATTATACAGTGGAGAAAACGGAAATTAAAGTATTGCTAGGCCAAATACTTCAAAATGTTTACCATCCCCAACTAAAAATACTACTAATAGGCCTATAACTAAATGTTCAGAATGAGAAGCCTGTAAGTGCATACTACCAAGTGAGGTCAAAGTCCACTGTTTTCTGATGCCAAGTTACTGATCTAGGTTCCTTATTATCTTGATCTAAGAAAAGAGGCAATCTGAATGTATGAACAAAAGCATACAGCCAAATGAAGGGTGAAATACATGTGAATTAAATTTTCACACTAACTTGAAGAGGAAATTTAGTCACATAAGACACAATACACAAATATCAAACTCAATCTGTACCACAGCAATTAAGACAATTTCTGATTGTGAACACTAATTTTAATGCAGAAAATTAAATGTTTCTGATTTATATAAATTGATGCAGTTTTAATCTTTTTGGTTTTCAATTTTTTAAAATTTTCTGTACAAATCTGTTTTGATTTATAGAAATGTGAGCCTCAAACAAATGAGATTCACTAACGTATAATTTATGCCAACAGTAGGGGTATGGTGTTTTTAACAAGGTCCCCTACATTATTCACACTTCTCAAAGAATAACAACTTACATGATGAATAAATAATACTTCTAACTCTGACCCACTGAAATTTACTTCTGTCAAATTGTCTAATAAAATCTTATTAATTTTCCCTTTTCAACCCTGAACATATGTTGGAATACCTTTTTCTTCTTCTTGTTACAAGTTTAACAACGATTTTCATAAAAAATATTAAAGGAAAGTAGACCCATTTCCACATATAAACTATCAAAAGAGTGCTTTTACAAAGACATTCAAGAAGGATTATTCCTTTCTCTTAATTCTATTTTACAAAGTTCATTTAAAAAAAAAAAAACTTACTGGTTTTCATCATAACCTAACTCAATATAACATATGTCACTCAATCTATATGCTTTTGGCTACTATCACTGGAATTCTCTAGAAAATAACCCATCTTTAAGAAATAGTCACTAATGTGCTTTTAGAAAGCTAAACAAATAAAAATGCTTCATTATCAAATATGAGCAAAAATCAGGAAAGATCAAGTTATCAAGGAAAAGACACAAAAATGCTGAGCTGAAACAAGACTATGCTTAAGTTAATTACTAGTGAATGAAATTTTTCACTATTTAGTATCTTAAGTACTAAATGTTAGCTTCTGCCAGTAATATATTGCTGACATAATCATCAACACAAAAACAGCCAGTAGGACTTCTGAAAACACACAAATCAACAATCACTAATTATGTCTCAAATAGCATACAAACACATACACATCATTTTTTCTCTTTCTCACCTCCCAAATAAATCAGTCACACAACTTAATATTTTTAAATTGTCACAGGCACACTCAAGTACCTTTTTTAGTTTTAAATTATTAAGGACATAGAGATAATTTTAGTAAGCATTAATCTTAGGCACTCAACAACAGTGATCCTAATTAAGATCAAAATAATAAAGAAGTCACAGATAAAAGCTACATGAAGGTGTTTCCAAAAAAGCTAATTAAGTTCTAAGTAAAATTAAACTTATGTAACTGTATTTTAAGCAGGTTAACTACTTTCCCTCAAATATTTTTTTTTTTTAGCTGGGATATTATTGCTTAGACTCTTGCAATTTCTGATCTACAAAAGGACAGTTTCAGGGACAAACTGGTTTGTTTGTTTTTTTAATACTTATTACATTTCTGTTATTAAATTTTTACTTACCTGGAAGGAAGTAGCACTAGAAAAGTTCTACTGAAGTCTTTCCTAAAATTCTCTCATGTCTTCCTCAGGAACATTGCTATTTTAAATGTTGCAATGGGGAAAACAGTATTTGGGAACCCAGGGGGGAAGTGAGAAAGGAATAGTGAAGTGTAATACAATGAAAACTTCATTGTATTCCTATGGGAAGTACTGGGAATTTAACAGTTAATTAAGCCACAATTAACCATTTTCTTTTTTCTAATGCAGACACACTTCTTAGTTTACCTAAGGCACAGTAAAGAGTACATCTTCCTTTTAAACATCTTTTCAACTAGTGCTCAAAATCCTTAGACCAACCCTGAAACAGCAGAACCAAAATCTTTATATTAATACATTTTATTCTCAATATTTTCAAAGATGTATTTGCCTTTAAATCATTTCTAAAATTATTAAATTAAGCAAGGATCAGTACCAATAGTATCTATAGGTAGTTTTATATGACAAATGCTCACTGACATTGATTTTTTATTTACTTTCATTCTAATCAAATCCAAATTATTCCTAATTTCTTAGAGATTCTATTTAACACCTTCCAGGTGGTTCTATATTCTTAAGCAATCAGCTGTTCCCAGAAAAACTGAATAATAAGGAAACATACCTAAGAGAGGAGCTTGGGAGATTTTTTTGGTTGGGTATGTGTGTGTCTGGGCGTGTAGGCCTGGGGAGAGTGGTAGAAATACTAATTTGCAATACAGAAAAAACAATGCCATTCACATGGTTCTAACAAAAGTGTCTGACCACCCCCACCCCCACCCTCAAAAAGCCCTTAAATAAATCGGGAGATTAAAAGAAAACAAGGTAATTCCCCAGAGTATCACCCCATAAATACAATAAAGAACAGCAGAGGAAGTGGCAAAGTTTAAAATAATGCCTTTGTCATTAAGACTAGTATGCTGTCACAAGCCACAATCCTTTTGTTTTGGTAAGTTGATAATTTTCAATAGGAAAATACAAATGAACATGTGTAGAAGTTCCAAAGTGGATTCATCACCTTTGAATTTGGCATCAAATAATTTTTCAGATATCAAATCTTCATATTAAAATTTTTCCATTATTTTAAACTTCACTTGAAATCTATAAAAAGCTTTCTGATTTGTACTATGAGTGCAGTTTAATCTTCTGTAAGATGCTATCAAATTATTAAACTCAGCAGTTTTAATGAAAAGGGAATCATTACCCAAAAAATGTCATTAAGTTTTGACAATCAAAAAGGCAAATCATTTCAAACATAGATTAGTTCCATAGGCAAATTTATACAATTATTTAATACGCTCTATGTATAACCATTTTTGTAAGTAAAAAGATTAATTTTATGTCACAGGATGATTAGAAGTACTTATCTTTCCAGTTAAGTAAGTTTTCAACTGTGAAAAACTAAAAATTAATTTAAACTAAGTTTTTTGTTTCCTTAGATTATCAGGCTGCTCTTGAAATGACATTGATTCATTACATTAACTTATAACCCTTAAAAAAACTGAACTCACGAGTATACTTAATGGTACTAATACGCACAAATCAAGTCTTTCAAATCAAACTCTTTCTAACCCCAATATCTTGTTTTTAAAAGGTAAGTGCTACCTTTTTATGTAGCTGAGCACTCAAAAGCATATTTAGTTTAATTCTAGCCTATTTATTTTTAAAAACACAAAAAAGTGAAACCTATAAACATTTTATACCCCTCAAAGATAGATTAAAAATTACTTACCCCATACACCTGCAGCTAAAGATTTATTCTGATTTGGTTCTCTCTCATATTCAGGATTTAAAGACGGCTGAAAGAAATTGGAATAAAAAGAATAAAACAAATGTTCACACTGCCCACATATTTTAAAAATAAACCTTTTAGGGGCGCCTGGGTAGCTCAGTTGGTTAAACATCTGCCTTGGGCTCCCAGGTCATGATCCCAGAATCCTGGGATCCAGCCCTATGTCAGGCTCCCTGCCCATGTGCGCGCTCTGTCAAATAAATAAATAAAATCTTAAAAAAAAATAAGTAAACCTTTTCAAAAGTAATCTCAAAACCATAATGAAGGGGCACCTGGGTAGCTCAGTTGGTTGAGCATCCGACTCAGTTTCGGCTTAGGTCATGATCTCATGGGTCCTGGGACAGAGCCCCACCTGGGCCTTGGCACTCAGTGGGCAGTCTGCTTGAGATTCTCTCCCCCTCTACCCACCCCTACCACCCCAACTTCCAGTGCACACTTGGCACGCTCTCTCACATAAATTAATTAAAAAAAAAAAAAAAAGCATACTGGGGCACCTGGGTGGCTCAGTCAGTTAAGCATCTGCCTTTAGCTCAGGTCAGGATCCCAGGGTCCTGGGATTGAGCCCCATATCGGGCTCCCGGCACAGCGGGAAGCCTGCTTCTCCCTCTCCCACTCCCTCTGCTTGTGTTCCCTTTCTCACTCTCTGTCAAATAAGTAAAATCTTAAAACAAACAAAAAAAAGACTTCATAAACCTTTCAGCTTATTCTGCTAACCCTCCAAATAGTTACTATTCTCACTTCCAGAAGGAAAACAAAGAAATAATCTTTAAATATTATTATCCTCAGGGTGCCTGGGTGGCTCAGTTGGTTAAGCATCTGCCTTCAGCTTGGGTCATGATCCCAAGGTCCTGAGATCGAGCCCCAAATCGGGCTCCCTGCTCAGCGCTCCCAACCTTAGTTAGGCCTTCACACTAATTCTTTCCCTCTTCCTTCCAGTTTTAACAAAGATCACTCCTTACCAAGTAGGTCCCAGGTTAAATGTCACTTCCCTAGAGAAACCTCTCCTGACCTCCCAAAGTAGCCACCCAGTCACTTCTTGTCTAAATTCTCTGCAAAATACTAATTACTTTTTCATGTCATGAATGCATCTAATAGAATAGAAACTCAGTGAGAGTAAGCACGTTGATATCTTGTTCCACGTATCGACAGCTAGACTCATACAGCCACTCAAAAAGATATGGAATGAAAAATGAGCGTATACAGAAAAATAAATTACCAGGGATGAATCACAAAAAATACTAGATAAATAAGATTGTACACTAGATCAATTTTTTATGCAAATGGAGAAGCACAGTGTTTAAGACAGCCACACAGTGAGATTTAAGAATAAGGAAAAATTAAGAAAATTCTGTTTCTGATTAGTTCATACTTTTTTTCCTTTTAAAGATTTTATTTATTTATTTGACAGAGAGAGACACAGTAAGAGAGGGAACACAAGCAGGGGGAGTGGGAGAGGGAGAAGCAGGCTTCCCGCTGAGCAGGGAGCCCGATGCAGGGCTTGATCCCAGGACCCTGGGATCATGACCTGAGCTGAAAGCAGACACTTAACGACTGAGCCACCCAAGGTGCCCCATGTTTTCTTTTTAAGATTTTATTTATTTATTTGAGAGAGAGAGAGCACGAACCAGGAGAGGGGCAGAGAAACAGGGTCCCCACCAAGCAGGGAATCCAATGTGGGACTCAATCCCAGGACTCTGGGATCATGGACCTGAGCCGAAGGCAGACGCTTGACTAAGCCACCCAGGCACCCAATTCATACTTGTTTTTAAGAGTGAAGTTAGCATTTCTTGTTTTATTTATTTTTTTAAGATTTTATTTTTTTGAGAGAGAGAGAGCGCGCACGAGCAGAAGGAGGGGCAGAGGGACAGTGAGAGGGAGAAGCAGAATCCCTGCTGAGCCGGGAGCCCAACACAGGGCTCAATCCCAGGACCCTGGGACCATGACCCGAGCTGAAGGCAGACGCTGAACCGAGACACCCAGGCGCCCCAAGAGTGGAGTTAACATTTCTAATTATATCTAACACAGGCTAACAGTTAGTTTGCTTTCCCTGACCACTAAGAAACTTTTTTTTTTTTTTTTTAAGATTTTATTTATTTGACAGAGAGACACAGCAAGAGAGGAACACAAGCAGGGGGAGTGGGAGAGGGAGAGGGAGAAGCAGGCTTCCCATAGAGCAGGGAGCCCGATGCAGGGCTCGATCCCAGGACCCTGGGATCATGACCTGAGCCGAAGGCAGACGCTTAACCATCTGAGCCACCCAGGCGCCCCTAAACTTTTGAATAAAGTACTTGAAAGACAGGAGAATTATCCTGGAATTAGCTTAAGAGTAATATATGAATAATCAAATGTTATTTAGAAGAGACAGTCTAAACAAGACATACTGGTAAAATATTCTTTCCAAAAGCTTAAAAGCTTTTTAGAGATGAAAGTTTTTAAAAGATTGTATCATGGGCGCCTGGGTGGCTCAGTCGGTTAAGTGTCTGCCTTTGGCTCAAGTCATGTTGCCAGGGTCCTGGGATCAAGCCCCACTTCAGGCTCCCTGCTCAGCGGGAGCCTGCTTCTCCCTCTCCTTCCTGCTTGTGATCTCTCTTGCTACTTCGGTCACTATCTCTCTCAAATAAATAAATAAAAGATCGTAAGACACAGGAGTAAGTAGGAGGAGGGAGGGGAATTGGGAAGGGAGAATTATATAAACAAAGAGCCTCACAAAAGGAAGGATTAAAAATAATTGAACCTGATGGGGGGGTGGGGCTAGGGGGCTCAGTCAGTTGAGTATCTGACTCTTGATTTCAGCTCAGGTAATTTATCCCAGGGTCATGAGATCGAGCCCTGCGTCAGGCTCCACAGTCGGCAGGGAATCCTCTTGAGATTTTCTCCCCCTAGTCCTCTGCCCTTCCCCCTGCTCCCACTCACACATGCACGCGCCCACTCTCTCTCTAAAATAAATAAATCTATAAAAAATAAAAATCTAAAAATAAAAAATAATTGAACCTGTCTGGTGTGATTTCTATAGGAAATGAACCATACTGATAAAATCTCATGAGAAAGCCTTGACATTAAAATGGCACTTGCGGAAACCTCATTTGTATTTAAACTACAAGAAACTTACAAAATCCTCAGCCTCAAACTGTTTGCGTTCTCTCTTGTCTTCTTTCCTCCCCGTTTCATTGTCAGGTATGCTGTTTTCATGTAGTCCTTGGCTTTTTCCAGAATGGAAAATACTGCTACGAGAACGGGAACTTCCACCATGGTATCCCCCTCGATGATTTATGTTTTCAGTACCATTTCTTCCATGCATCCGCCATCCATTTTTTTCTTTCCTTCCAAAATTACCTTTATTTGATAATGGTAAAGTATTATAAACTCAAAGATGGTTATGCTTAAATGTTAATCACTGTCAACATTCTTAAAAGCATGAAGAAAATTATCCTTAAGTTTTTATTTCTTAGCAAATTTTACCTCCATTAGGACGTCCAATACCAGAATCAAAGCCATCTGAGGAGTTGTGTCGTCGACGATTCACATCATAACGATTTTCTGTCCATGAAAAGTTTTCAGAATGCTTCTCAAAGTTTATTGACGACTGAAACAAAATAAGCCCATAGGTAAACACACATATAAAACCTGGCTTAACTTATTTCCAAGATTCTAAACGGTTAAGAACATTCTGTAGTTACTTTCAGTGTATTTGATAACTGGTAACTTATTAAGATAGATTCCGCTGTTGGTCTATTTTGTCTAATAGAAATCATTCTGAAATAGCTTAACGACATCTACTTACCCAAAAACTTTAGAAGTAAAATGCCACCATAAGGGAAACAAGGCAAAACATAGTGTACTTCCTCTTACATGACAAAATGTAAAACTCCGTATCATACATTACTTGATTTAAAATAGCTCAAGGTTTTCTTTAGTATCAGAAAAGTTATGGCAAATGAAGCTAAAATTCTAAGTTCTTCAGATTTATTTCCAAACTCTTCCCCAAAACAAATGTTTTTTAAAAATTATCTAAATAATATATATAGAGGCACCTAGCTGGCTCAGTCAGTGGAGCATGCGACTCTTGATCTCAGTGTTTTGAGCTCAAGCCCCATGTTGGGTGGGGGGATTACTTATGAATAAAATCTTTAAAAAAAAAAAATGTACAAGAACTATTTTTAGGGGCGCCAAGGTGGCTTGGTCGGTTAAGTGTCTGCCTCTGGCTCAGGTCACGATCTCAGGGTCCTGGGATCAAGCTCCCTGCTCAGCAGGGTGTCTTCTGCTTCTCCCTCTGCCTCTCCCCAGGCCCCCTGCTCATGCTCACTCACTCCCTCTCAATAAATAAAATCTTTATTTTTTTTTTAAGATTTTATGTATGTATTTGTCAAAGAGAGAGAGAGTGTGTGTGTATGTGTGTGTGTGTGCATGCACACACCAGCTGCGGGAACAGCAGGCAGAGGGAGAGGGAGAAGCAGGCTCCCTGATGAGCAGGGAGCCCGACTACGCGGGGCTTGATCCCAGGACCCCGGAATCATGACCTGAGCCGAAGGCAGACACTTAACCAACTGAACCACCCAAGTGCCCCTAAATAAAATCTTAAAAAAAAAAAAAAAAAAAACCCAAAAACTATTTTTAAAAATTAGGAAATCTATAAGGACGCCTGGGTGGTTCAGTTGGTTAACCATCTGCCTTCGGCTCAGGTCATGATCCCGGGGTCCTGGGATCGAGTCCCATGTTGGGGTCCCTGCTCGGCGAGAAGCCTGCTTCTCCCTCTGCTTGTGCTCTCTCTCTCTCTCTGACAAATAAATAAAATCTTAAAAAAAAATAAAAAATAAAAATAAACAAAAATTAGGAATCTATAAAAATCATGAAAGTCACAACTGTTTATAAACGTTGCTGTTCTTTCCCAGTATTAACCCATTAATCTCATAAGATCATAATCAAAACTTCAAACCTTTTCTTAAAATGCCCTGACCATTTCTCTGGGCTGGACTTATCTTACAACCACCTCCAGGACAAGGAGCAGAGTCTCTAGTTGCAATGTAAACCCACTGCACATACCCATGTCATCCACTGGGCCCCTCCACATTGTCACTGTGGGACTTACTGGTGCTGCTCTCCGAAGCAGCCTCATCCTCATGTTGCTTATTGTGCCAAGATAAGTCCCCTTGATATTCTCATATCTTCAGACAGCATCCATGCAACAGTAGTAACAGGTCACCATGGTAGGCTTCCAAGCAGGGTAAAAACGCAAACCATTCACGGACCGCTAACAGTTTGGGTGGTGAGGATGTAATGCTAACAGAGCTTATATTTTCTAGAAAAAATAAATACAAGGGTCTCTAGGCCACATTAGGGCATAAGCGAAGACTCTCAAGATTCTGGCAGCAACTGCTGTCATCCAAGTGACAGGTGGAAGTAAAGGTCCCTCAATGTTTAGCAGTCAACTGGCAAAGAGTAGAATTGAAACCAGGTGTCCAAATAGTGCTTTAGGTTTGGTAACTCTCCCAAGTAGAACGATGGGATTTTTTATTATGACAATGGGGTCCCACCTGAAAGGCAGACACTGCTGTGGCTGCTGAACCAAGACAACTCCAAAGATGAAATAGAGGTCAGCAATGAGGATACAGTTTTAGAAAGATTAAAAAGTCATTAGAAGAAAATTTGTTAAGGCTACGGCCTACTTGGAAACAAAATAAATGCAGAACCTCGCTTCCTGGAGTGGAAGTGTTCTGTGCCCTCTGTACTCCCTGATCCCTCCCTTCCCTACTACATCAACCTCAGCAGCCTTTATAAGAATGTCAAGTATACTGGTATTTAAGGAAAGGGACAAACTTTTATAGCTCTGCTAGACACACGTGCTCAAGTCACCATCTACCCACTCCCATGAGGAGTGAGACAGTACTAAGCATAGGGGTGGCTGAAAATACTGAGGAATGTGGGAAAAGACATGTCAGTGCGGTGCATGGGGGCAGGAAACGCCCCATCCTGTGAGTCTGCTGAAGCCAGAAGGTACACAGGAGAAGCAACATCAACCCTGGGTTGAGGAAATCAGAAGAGAAACAGTAAGCCTACAAGCCACACATGCAATCCCCAAAAGAGCTATCTTCTCCTCCACCGTGTACTTTCCCACTTTCACAGATGAAGAAATCATGTAATCTCCCAAAAGCTTGGATTGTAACCCTTAAGTGCATGTACAAGACTTCTTAGTCTGTGCCACTGTAGTGAGAAAAGGTGCCCCAAAGACCCAATTTGACTGATTTTGAAGTTTGAGGAAAATTCAGCAGTAGGAAAGAAAAATTAAAGTGATCTTGCAGGTGAGGCTTTTAGAGCAATTCAATGTACTATTGTTTGTTGTGTTTTAACTTGGTACTAATTGTTACTGAAAATGCTCAAGAGTCTTCCATTTAGGGAATACCGCAGGATGACAGATGATTCCTGTCCCGGACCTTCCACGTAGTCTAGCAAAAAACACTATAGGCTCCCAGAAAGAAAGAAAGAAAAAAAGAGAGAGAGATAGTTAGAAAATTTGATGGGTAGTGAAATACTCAGAGGCTATTTCCCAGTACAGCAGTGCCATGTGCCTGCCATGTACACCCCCTTTTTAAAGGGTATATGGCTCTCGACGTACTGCTGAGCTCTTAAATGAAAGTGAACCAGAAAAGGGGGCCCATTAGGGCTCCTGATCTAATGCAAAGTATTTGAGCATGCAGCTGACCTGGCCACTGGGACATCTGTTTTGCACAAAGTGGCAACTACCCTCTGGGGTAAACCTTATTCCCCTCCCTGACACCATAACAAGCTCCTGGTTCAATAAGGCTCTCAAATCATAGTCCCCTGAATGCCTAGGTCTGGTTCACTGCTGATTCAACTCCGTTAAAAGAGGACAGTGTCCACTGGGTGGCAGCAGCCATCCGCCCCAACAACTCTGGAAGACCAAGCGGCTAAGTATCATTCGGCACAATGGGCTAAAATAAAAACTACAACACTGGACTTAAGTCTTAAGGACTAGACATTTTATGTTTTTCTGCCTCTTGGACTGTTGCCAATGTCCTAGTCATCTGGCAGATCACCTGAAAAACTAGAGACTAGCATATTAAAGGTAATTCTTTGGGGTTATAAACTGTGAAGCTGCTACTGCTGATGAGAAAATCTGAATCACTCAGAGGCTTACAGTAAGATATGCTGGCATAAAGAACAACTAAAATCAGAATACTGCTGAAGTCTGTAGCACGCCACCTAGATCCATCATCGCACCAGACATGTAACTGTCCACTACCATAGACTGGTCACAAAATAGACCACTTTTTCTTTCTGATGCAGAAGCCCCCTCTGCATGCTAACCTGTGAGCCTGCCAAAAGTTGGTCCATTTGTCCCACTGTGAAGGAGGCCATATTACACATTACACATCAAACCTGTGATCACTTCTTGGAGCTATCAATAGTGTTTCATCACTGTTGAAATTTTTTCAGGTTACAGTGTTACTGTTGTGATCTCACTGGCTAACTCTGGTCACACGATTGTGACCCTTGAAATTAATCCATGTCATTTTTTTGGACCATCAATATTCCAGTATTAGTGCATCTTTTGTCATGAAGGTCAACCTGCAATGGGTCAATATTCAAGTAGTATATTCAAGACATTATACACACCCTACTATCCACAGGCATCCAGTCTATCAAACAACAGAAATGGTCTCCTCAAAATTCAACTCAGAACAATCTGCAACTACATTCCTCAACTCTTCACACACTTTAATGAGATACTTTGGTCAATGAATGCAGCACACCCAAAGAGAGATCATCTCTTCCTAGCCACTTCCTAGGTAGTAATTAGGATTAAAAAAAAGAAAGAGATATGAAATTATACAGACCTATTTCTTTTTTTAAGGATTTTTTATTTATTTGACAGACACAGCGAGAGAGAGCGCAGAAGCAGGCTTCCCGCTGAGGCTCAATGCGGGGCTCAATCCCAGGACCCTGTTGCCCAATGACTGAGCCACCCAAGTGCCCCAATATACAGACTTATTTTTAAAATATCAGGATTTTGCCCTGATTATCTCTTCACATGATGCTTCTTTCTCCTAAGAGAAACTGCAGGCCAAGCTACCTCTCAAGGAAATGGTCTGGTCAAAAAGAAACCTAATGAATTCAAACAATCTGGTTTGGCCACCTGGATTCTCTTTTTGGTGCGACATGATCCTGTATCTGAAAATAGTGACCATTTCCTTCAGTATACTTCTCACCAAGTACTCAGTACAGTGTCCAATGTGGACTAGGGTGAGCATTATAATGGGTCTCTACAATTATGTAAAAATGTCCTTAACCCACTTACATCCAACTCTTCCAGATAAAAAATCTGGGTGCGAGTAGGGAATTTTTCTTTGAGCGACGTCAGCTATCCAAATAAGACACACCAATTTCATGGATATAGAAAGAAAAAACCCTAGCATCTGTAGAGGGAACATCTTTGACTCCAGAAGGTGCAGGAAGGAAGAAAAATTAATGCTCTATCTCCTAGAACCAGCACCACTGCCTGAATCATACAGAAGCTGGAGAAAACACTGATCACTGCTAGATGTGTTATCATATACTCTGAAATCA